ACTTGATTAGATTTGCTTGAATTTGAATCTTAACAAAAACATGATCTAGTAAGCTTCGCAATGATTCAAAATACATGCTAACATGAAATACTCGAGATTCATGTAATCTGTATATAGGATGACTAGACTTAAAGCACCTTCTAAATAAATGATGCCATTCTTGAAAAGAATCCATGATTATAAGAAGTTCTTTGTTGTAGATCTAATAATTAATCTCGACTATTGAAATTTTTTTGAATGAAAAGCTACTAGATGAAGTTTGTCATTTGCTTATATTTCTGATAAGACTGTATCCAAGAAAAAATCAAATGCATTTTTTTTTATAAAAAATACTTTGAAAAGGTCGACACAATGTAGGATTGGTGTAGAAATGAAAGATTTCTTCAAAGCTTCAAATGATATTTTTGTTTTTTTACTCCACTGGAGCTTGTCTTTATAAGTTAAGCATGCAAGTGGTGCTACAGCTTGAGAAAAGTTCTTAATGAAGATCCAATAGTAATTGACAAATTCCAAAAAATATTATACATCTTTTATTATTTTTGAAATCTTCTAGTTCATGATTGTGTGAATTTTTTTAAGATCCATCATTAGACCATTGTTTGAAATGATATATCCTAAGAAGTCAACTTGAGTAGTGTAGAATACATACTTTTTTAACTTGGCATATAATCACGCATCTCTAAGTTTTTGTAACACATGACAAACATGAACTTCATATTCTTGTGGATTTTTAGAATAGATTAAAATGTTGTCTAAGTAACAAACAACAAAATCATCTAGAAATCCAAGAAAAACATCATTCATAAGATGTTAAAAATTAACTAGTATATTTATGAGTCCAAAAGATATGACATTATATTCAAAGTATCCTTATCTTATTTGAAATGTAGTCTTCCATTCATCTTTTTTTTTAATACAGACTAGATTGTATGTTTCTCATAGATCTATTTTTGTATAGATCTTAGCTTGATTTAATTGATCAAGAAGTCCAAATATCAAAAGCAAAGGATATCTATTCTTGATGGTAATCTTCTTGAGTCATCGATAATCCATACACATTTGTAATGGTCCATCTATTTTTTTCACAAATAAGATAGGAGCTCCTATAGGAGATTTTGAATGGCATATGAAATTCTTGGCCAAATTTTCATCAATATATTCCTTGAGTTTAGCCAACTCATTTTGTGATAAACTATAGATTGGACGAAATAGCGACTCAGTTCCTTCTTTAAGATCGATTTAGCAATCATATGGATAATGCTCCTAGAAAATATCTGCATTCATCTTCTCAAAAATATTTTAAAAATCTTGATATTGACTTGGAATTTTACTTGAAATCTTTCCATCATTTAAAATGGATGTGGCATAAATAATAAAAGACGATCTTTCTTTTGAAATATGTAAAAAAGTTTTTCTACCTATAAGTACAAGTTTGGTTATACTAGACTCATGGCTTTCTACTAGATTAGAAAAATTCTTAATGATATTTGAAGAAAAGTCAAGTATACGAGAAATCCAATCTATCATAGGATTATATTTTTTTAGCCACAATAAATCTAAAATGATTAGATTAAAGAGAGGTCTAATTATATTAAAAATTACGTGACTATTATGACCATTTATTACTACATCTCTAAGAAGTGTTTCATGAGTAACATCTTCAAAAGATAATGGACGACCATCTATAACTTCTATGTGTATGGATTTAGTTTTTTATACTAATTGTATATTATAACTTTTAACAAATTCTTCATCTAAAAAATAAGATGAGGCTCCTAAATCTATTAAGGCAAAGGCTTTGTAATTATTAGATCTTAAATAAACATCTATTATAAAACAAAGAGAGGATTCTGAGGAGAGAATAAGACCTTCATTAAAAATTATACAAGATTCTAGGTACATTGTCCCTATTGTAGCTAGACAAATTTATTTTTTGACATGTTTTCATCTTTGACAACAATACTCCTCATTTTTAAGTTGCATCATTTCTTTGAATAATATTGAGCAATGTGCTTAGCTTTTCTACAATATAAACATAGTCCTTCTTGACAATGACAAGTCTTTTTTTGTTCAGTAAGAAATTTAAAACATATTGCATCAATTTGCATGTCTTCTACTTTCAAATCTTTAGATTGAAAAGTCATTGGTGTTATCATTGAATTATAATAATGTTGAGGTTTCCTTGTGCGATTCTCAAATTAAAACTCAAAAAGTTAATTATCACATTTTAGAAGAAGTCAATTCTTTAACTCAATGTGTGAGGATTAGGTAAATTGAGCATCAATTTCTTTACTTCATATTATAATGGATAAAGAAATTGGTTGATGAGTGCTACATCATTCTACTTGATATCTATTGCTAATTATCAAAATTGTAAAGTGTATAATGTCACTCATTGATTGTCTTGTTGCAAGATACTAATCTTACAAGTTGCAATATAGATTGCATCATATTTTTCACACATAAATCAAAACTCCGCTAAGAATGCTTCCAAATTATTCAATATTGGATCACATCATTCAAGAAATGATGAAAACCATGATAAAATAGAACGTGAAAGTACTGCTCCAATAAACTTGACATCTGATCCTTAAATTAGATAACTTTGAGGTTGTAGTTCAATCACCAGTTGACTTGATTGATGAATCCTCAAAACTTAGATCTTATGCCATCAAACTTTTTAGGCAATCTAATTTTTGGTTGCTTAAAATTTGAACTATGTTTTGTTATAGGAGCAGTAATATGACTTGATATAGATGTTGAAGCAACTCCAATCATCTCTATATCTTCATTGCTTGATAATCTTGTTGCTCCTTGTGGTGGTAGATTGAATTGATGTATTGCAAGTATTAACTCTCTCATTTGCTCTTGTATTTGAGCGATTGCACTCTTCATTTCAGCAAGTTTTGCCATGCTAGCATAATAAAAAGAAAGGTTTCTATTCTCATAGAATACAATATTCAAGAATCAAGAAAAAAATAAAAATAAAATCTAGAAATAATATCAGTTTAAAAGACGGTAATCTATAACTTCTAATACGCTTATGTCTTATCAAGACAAAGTGATAATCTACTCTTAATCAAGAAAGGACAAAGCTCTGATATTATATGTATACTTTTGTCAATCTATCAAGAATATACATAAACTGGAAGAAGATACATAAACTTATGGAATCTGTGTCAAAATGAAAGTAACAAAATAAAAGAAAGTATATATATTCAAGAAAGAACTAGAATAGCTATTGCCAAAGACTAGAAAACATAAGACTCTTGAAATTAGACTAAAAGAAAGAAAAGAGTTGACAAGAGTGAAGAAGGCCTCACTCTTGCTTTTATATATACTACTTAACTAAGAACTATGTGGTGACATGCTATAGGATCTCTAATATGCATCCAAACTGCAGGACACATGTCTAATTTGCAAGGCAAGTTTCTTAGGTGTGTGCCATATGTCCAACTTGTACCACAAGTGGTCAACATGTCGATACATGGCCTCCTTGTTTGCCAAGTTTTTAACCTATCAATCACCTATAGACATGTATAAAAGCAAAGTTGTATCTATGAAGCTTTTAAGAAGCTTTCTATAAGATATTATCATATTTATCTATTTTGATTTACTTCTACCTATTCTTATTATCTAAATAATTATTAGGATAAATATGTATGTCTGTGATACATACACTTGTGTGTAATTTTCTTCATATCTTACAAATTAAGTACTCAAATACCATTAAATTTTGATATATATATTCTTAACTTAATAACACACACTTTTAAAAATTTTGAGCAAAAAATTCATCCAAAAACTTAAGATATAGCTCCAACTATTATTATCAAAAAAATGGCTCACTTCCTTCATTTGAATTATATGTGCTATCTTCAATGCTCTATAATTCCTTCATACAAACTCCAAATATAAAAAATATTTTACAAAAGATATAGATCTTAAAATCACCTTTGTGGCCACATCTCTTGATCTCCAAAAGCTATCATATAACTCTTCTTATCTTCAAAAGAGTAACAATATGTCTTAAAAAGACATCTTAACTTTAATCGGCTATAACTTCATCACCCTAATTCCAAACCCTCTAAAATTTGCTTAAAAATCATAGTTTAAATCCTAAACCTTATAATTCTTACTTTTGACTCTTGAATGTCCCTTTTGAAGTCACTAAAATCCTTGTTATGATTATAAATAGTCTCTTGAGAGCCTATTGGCTATGGCTTTTGACCAATAGGGATGAAGATCCTCACCTCTTGCCTTCATCTATCTATTTCTTATTTTCATCCTTCCAAATAAGCTTCATAGAGGTTTGAATCTTCATCTTCGAATCCCAATCTTCTCTTTAAATTTTATACTAAATGTCTAAATCTTATATAATTTAAATAATATAATCAAAATAGATAAACTTTAAAATATTTTTTTTTTACATCAACTTTCTTTAAATTAACCTACAAACCATTCTAATACACATCAATACTTATAAATATATTATATGTTTTAGTTAATTTTTACATACTATAAACAATTACAATGCGACAATGCATGTATCCATGTAGATATGTATTTAATAAAAATTACTTCTTTGTAAGGGGAGAGTAGTCAATTTTATATCCTAATTTTTACAAGATTAGTATAAGTAATGTTTAATAACAATATTGTTATTATATATTTTTTTAAATTATGGCATACTTAAGAAAGTATGATTTAATTTCTATTCTTTTTTTAAAAAGAATTGTAAATGTTGCATTCAAGTCGTGTTTTTTTACTCATGGTAATAAGTAAAAAAATTCATATTTTGAAAAGATTATAAAATTTGACCAATTGGTTAATGAAGTTTATTACTTTTTTGATAATTTACTCACTAAATAAATATTTGATTGCTGTGATTCACTTATATCAAACACCAGGACAAGAAACCACAAAGGAAGTAAAAGAAAGAAGATAGGAGAAAGAAGAATTAGAGGTTCATTGACATACTATTTGAATTTGCCTCTGCGTAGAGGAAGAGGACCAACACTGATTACTTAGAACTGGCTGGATGTGGAAAATTTGGAATAAAAAACACAACTGATATGACATGGCTTTCTTTGTGCAACACTCTACTAGGATCTAACTCCTTCAAAGTTCACAAATTGAGAGAAATAAGTGCCATATACAAAGACTTACTGTAGAAGAGCTACAGAAGGAACTACTGTCAGTGTGGTTTAGGCCTAAGGTGCCATCTGTGCAGGTGGAGGAGATTGGAATAAGGGTGGAATAGCATTGAAAATGGTATTTGTATCCACTCCCCCTTTAGTAACTGTTGATAGTGATACTAGAACTCCCACAAGTGCAGCATTGGCAGCTAAAGTTGGCTCTGCTTGCTGATAGTTGGAACGCCTGTCAACATATTTGTCAAATCTATTTGGTCCAGCAACCATTGCCCCCTCAATTACATGTGGATTAGGCAAATTTGCATCCCTATACTTATAACCTTCAGTACATTTTACTCTTGTTTGAGTCTTGGGAATAGATGCAGCCCTGTGATGAACTTGTTTTGGATACTTCTTACCATAGCCAACCACATAGCTCATATTCATGGGGTTGTGTCCAAGCACATAGTTTACCTGCACATATTCAGTGCAATTAGTAGTTCCTTTCTGGTAACCATTTTATGCAGGTTGCCAGCATGGCAAAAATATCCCCAATATGGAGCATGATCAAATATGCTCTTTGGGTAAAGAAAGCAATTCACTGTGGATAATGAGAGTCTTACCTGTGATTGGGCATAGATGTTCAAGGTTTCTGCAGTGTAGAAAATATTTCTACAAGTCCATCCAGGCACATCAAAGGTCTTCATGTAATCAGCATATGTTGATGCAACCATTGAATTACTGATTGCATACTGCAATAGCTGTGGTTGCCCAGGCATGAATACTGTCAGCCCCCCTGTTTACATTGCACACAATACATCCAAGTTTTAGTAATTGGCACTTGATTCTCCACAACTATATATATATATATATATATATATTTAAAAGAGAAAGAAAACAGACATATATTGGGTACTGTTTGGTCTGTCATTTTTTCTGTGTACATTATTTGTTGACATTCCTAAAATACATATGAACAGGTATTTTTACATGTAATAAAAGCAAGGAAATAGGTTGGTCAACTAACCTTTGGTAACACCAAACTTCTTGAACTGTGGAAGATAGGAGCACATAACAGTTTGAGTTTGATTATGGTACTCTCTGAGTAGCTGTTCATAAGGATATCCTGGGCTTTGTACAAGCAAGAGTCTTGACAAAAGAACCTGCAGAAAGAGCAGAGAGATAATTTATAGTTCATAGTGTGGCAAGAAGACATGGTCACTGTTGGACATTCTACTTTACCTAACATGCAAAGAAATCAAGCATTTGAATTACATGGAACCTTACAACTGAACCTAAAAATCTCCAACCAACAAATACTTTACCAATTGAAAACTGCACTGTACCTGAGCACCTATGAGCTTATTGTCCCAGCTGAACACACCATAAGTGGGCCCTCCACCATTAGCATTGGCATTCTTAGCAAGTGCTGAGTTTGTAATAAGTTGAAGATATGTGATGTTCCCTGTGGCATAATACATCCAAACTCCACCCCACAAGAACTCATCCCAGTAGCTGGTGGAATTATAGAAAGGTACTTCTCCCTCTGGCAGGCCAACAACATAACTTGCTCTGTTACCCATTCTTCTTGCAAAAGTCCAGATGTTTGTTGCACCTGTGATCAACTTCCTAGAGTATGCTGGGGTATCTTTGAAGACAATAGAGGCAGCTGCAAGAGCTGCTGCCATTTCTGCACCCAAATCTGGGGCAGAACTCACTGCATATGCTGGTCTGGGGTAGTCCATGTCCTCAGGCCTTTCCCAACAGTAGTGGTCATTGGGGGAGGATGTATTTCCACTCCCTACCTGATGAGAAAGAAGTCACACTTTTTTAAAATCATATCATGAGATTTTCTCATTGTAATTCAAAGGGAATGTGCTAAGTAGTCAATGACTACTTAGCATGTGACTAATTCCCGATGTAGGGTATCTAAGAATATTCTTTCGCTTATCCTGATAAAAAAGGAAAAGACATGCAATGATGAATCTCAAACATGGCTGAAGGTGTTACAAACTAAACCAGCTTATTAGTGAAACTATGAACCTATACATTTGGTCGTACACTGGCATAACTATATTCTTGGCATCTCAGTTTGGTCTCATTTTGAACATACGCATACCTGAGCGAACACACGATCCACAGTTGACGAGGAGGAGGTAAAGGTCTTTAACATGTAATCAGTGCCCCACTTAATTATCTCCTTGGCGTGATTCAGCTCTCCCGCCGCTAGGTATTTACTTTTGTACTCGATAACACTCCAACTCAACAGGGTCATGGCATAAGCTGCAGGAAACCCAAATTTGATATTATCTCCTGCATCGTAGTAACCACCAGTGAGGTTAACACCAGCATCTCGTCCATCATTTAGACCAGAATGCGATCTCCATGAGATATTGTTGGATGGTGGCAGATGTCCAGCTGCAATTCACAAACGAGTGCAGTTAGAACCAGTTCCCTCATCGCATCTTGTGATGTGTACAACTTTTTCATTGAATAGTGGTTTGATCCCATGATACTTCTGTAGTGGTCAAATTGCTGTGTCATAACATTGCTTTCATTACATTACAAATGGTTCAAGCATGCCCAGAATGCAGGAGAGAGGCTATGTTCAACATCAACGAAAGGCAATTGTCATGCTGAGGGAGACATTCCCGTGATTGCTAGGATTATATGTTGGCTTACATTTCTGAGCATCGAAGAATTTGAGTGCCATTTTTAAGGCAATAGTGTAGTTGTCGAGGGGCGGAGGATGATGTTGTTTACGAGGAGCGAATTTATAGATGAGGATTGACAGGCCCACAATAGCGCCGGCAGCGAACAGGGTACCGATAAGAATGAAGAACATTTTGCGGCTGCATACCACACAACCCAAGTCTATCTCCTTCTTCTCCTTAGGAGCTGCGGGTTCTAATAGCCAACTCTGCTGCGTCTCCTCTAAACTCTTCAAAGAAGCCATGTCGAAATCCATCTTCCTACTGCGAGTATCATCTCCTGCCTCCGAGTCCATAATCATCCTCATTGGCCCTCCTGGCCAGCTGTTGTGCATGGTTGTTGGTTCCTTCCTCTGCTTCTATCACCCAATTTACGATTGCAGCGCCTCTGGATCAAAACGCAGTTTACAATCACTCGTCCAACAACTTCAACGGTCCTAACCGACACTTCGAGTTCGCCTAGGATTCGATCATACGGACATCCAACAGCACCCTCCACGCTAATCAAGGCCCCGAACTCACACAGTTCACGTAGATGTTGTGGTTTTGAATGAAATCAGGTCTACCCGGCAAAGAGTCGCGATTACACATGACTTCATTCTTTTACACAATACGGCGCTTAATTGTTTGTTATCCTTCGACAGAGGAAATACCGGAACACTTACCAGTTTCACTTTCCAACATCGACGACCTTGCTTCACAAACATTCAACCCAAAACGGTCTATCAAGAGTCACGACATTGTGTGAATCACATCAACTACAACGCTGCGTCAAGTTTTGTTCACTGCCTGGCGAAGATCCCTGATCGCCTCGCACAAGCAGAAGGTACCTTGCCAATGAAGCTAAAAGCAAAGATAGCACACACAGCTGGTTCTCTTAACAATGAAATGGACACTCAATATACTCACCAGACTTCTCCTCTGCCCAATTCTACACACATTTATAACCCGTTTTCTAACAAGCCACACTTCTCCCACTCCTCTCTTTCTCAACTTCCCAACCCTCTTGCCCAAGGTAGGGAAGCTGCTACCACAAGCTATGTGTACTCGATTTGGACAAAATGTCAACTACTTCCAAATGATCACAATCCTGAAAGAAAAGAGGCAGAGCTCCACCAGCTTGATGAGACAGATGCAGGAGCAATGTGCAGACCAGCAGAACGAAATGCTCTTGTGTAGCAACTCAGCAAGCTAATGGACATGTCACGTCATGAATCATCAAACGCTGCACCAACTACCGCCATAAAAATTACGACGACTGACGTAATTCACGACACATATATATATATATATATATATATATATATATGTATTGATTCTGACATCAAGCGACGACTGCTGCATCTGTAAAATGTACCTACAGGGTTCTCTTCTCTCCCGCACGACTTGCTGCCAGACCCAGTCTAGCTTCCTAACGACTCCCCCTCGCCCACCAAATCTTCCTCTCAAACCTCGCAAAGTGACAACAGTTAGGCACGTCGTTGATGATCGGAGAGTGCGGTCGCTTCACCAACAGGTTTTGCGGGAACGGGGTGGAAATCTACTTCTTCGATTCCCCTTCACTTGGGATTTGAGCTGCGATTCGCAGGGATTGGCAGAATGAGAGCGAATTTGGGCGGGAGTGGGGAGGTCGCGCCAACCCACACCTGGCTGTGATGGCAGCAGGTCTTCTCTCAGGGACGAAACTGTACCAAATTTTCTACGCCTTCATTCATCCACGACCTCCCTGTGCTGCCCCATTGCTTCGCCTGCTTTCCACCAACACAAATCCAACCCAATGCTCTGCGTGTTGTTAGGTGTTCTCGAGATTCTTCCACGCTAGATCGCCAGTATTCACATTGCGCTATAGTGAGTGGGTTCCTCTCAGGCCACCTCTGTCTCCTTGCCGCAGGCCATGCTCTAGAGCAATGACAGGAAGCTATGTATTCCTCTGGGTTTCCGCCACTGCTCTTCGAACTTCTACTTGTCTGATATGCTCAAATCTCGAAGATCGGCACCCATTGTCCGATCTCTCAATGAAGGCATGCTCATCGTTACGATGATAAACAATCGCAATGACAACCACGCTCAACAAATTTAAGAACAATACCAATTACTGAATCGCAACAAATGACCAATGCAAACGATGTGTAACAGACGATCTTACACGACTCGAAACAGATTTGCATTTCACGAGTCTCCAAATTTTTGCAAATTGGTAACGGCATGAATGGGATGTTTGACACGTTCTCTGAATAACCATGAAAGCACCAGAACACGAGATTGAACTCAAACATTGAATTCGGTTCTTTCATTCCGTCGATTGTGGTTGCGACAACTTCACCTCCAAGTTTGCAATCACGATGCCAGCATGATATCTCACACATGAAATTATCCCCTCTGCGTTGTTTGGAATTAGTTGTCCTTCAGTTACAGAAAAACACAACACTTTCATGGTTATACTTCATCAGCCATTGAGATAAGAAACAGTGAGGCACATGCACTATGTGTTATCGACTGGGTTGGAAGCACCCACTGTTTGCTTTGCAGATTGCTCCGTCCTCAAACCTGTCGATACTCATCCCGCCTTCAGAATAATGCATCACCGCCAACCACTCAAACCTCCACTAAAACCTTGCCATGCCGAAGAATGAAAGAGAAGAAGAAGATGGCATGATCTTTCACTGAGCATGCATGGATGGATATATAGTGAGTTGGTTAATTAGTGAGTGAGTACTGCAACATCTAAGGCAGGATTTTCAGATGTGAGTTTACAAAGGTGTGTTGATTGAGTCTGTGATGTGAGCCACATGTGGTGAAAAGGAGTGGTACCCGACATAGGAATGTTTTTAGTCCCGTCTTGTTTGGGACATGTGCTTCCAAGCGAAGGACTAGATGTCGGCTTTCCAAATGGAGAGTACACTATACAAGGATGAGATTGGACATGTCCTAAGAGAGAAGGATAGGATGCTCCAATAGAACATTCAAATGGAATGCCAAGATTGCATTCCAGCGTGTTGAATGGAAGGTCAACTATCTTGGAATTTCTACAAGTGCATTTGATAGTCATTAAATCAACTCACTAGTTATTTTAGGATAAAAAGATATATTTAGAGTACTTAAAATCACAATATATGGTGAGTAGTGTAGAAATCCTTAGACAAATAGAAAATTAAAATGTAAGTTATAAAAATGGAATCTTAATAAGTCTTAGAGGCAATTATCTTAGTTGGTTTAGTTTTTTTTTATTTATAATTAAGTATTAAAGATTATTTATTAAGATCAATATTTACATTAGCCTTCTATCTATATGTATTACTTATAAAAAACTATAAATGTTAGTTAGTAATTAGAAGAAGCATGAGAAAAAATCTCATGTCTTTTTAGTTAGTTATATAAGAAATAAGATTTATAGTTGATTTAAATTGATTTTATTATTATAAAAATCAAAAAAAAATATAGCTTTAAATTTATATTAATATTATAAAAAAATTATAAGAATTTTTAGAATTTATTTTAAAAAATTAGGAATTTTTAGAGCAATTTTTAAGAATTTGGTAAAAATAAGTTTTATCACTTTGGGAGCTATTAAAAAGAAATGGAGCAAGATTTGAAGGCCTTTCAAGGTTTCTATGCTAATTAGATGTTTTAAAATACCATAGTGAAGTTAAAAATATAAAAATATTGGTTTTACTAGTAGAAAATAAAAGGACCGGTAGCTAGTATAATCCTTGTAAGAAAGGAGTTATACAAGTTCCATATGAGTTGTAGCACTGTGAAGGTAGTTAAAAAGATAAGACTAAGGCCTTAAAGGCCTCTTCTAGAAATCCATATACACTACTTGTGAGCCTTAGTGAGGCTCAAACTCTTAATCTCTTAAGCAAGTTATCCTTAAGGTAAAAATTATTCACTTAACTTTTCTATTATTTATCTTTAATTTTTAATCTATCATAAATTATTCATAGTAACTTAGATTTATATGTTTTTTATATTATTAAAAAGATTAAAAGATTATTAATCTAAAAATATTTTTTTATTTTTTATTTTTATTTTTTATTAGGTGAAAATCTAATAAATAGCTTGTGACTAGTTTTATAGTGTATAATTGCTTGATTACACTTGTTTCCCTTCTTTTGTGCTATGCTTCTTTTATTCTTATTTTTACTATTTCTACTTGTAGAATGTATAAATGTCTTTTTTGGTTCGTTATCAGTTAAATAGTAGTAATGTTGGGATTTAGATGAATGGTTAGTTCGATTAGTTGTTAATAGTAGGAAGTTAGGAACATATGTGGTTAAGAAGCCAAAGTTTCACAACCTATGGAATCTGCTGAATGACGATTCATATTTTGGTAGGATAAAGAGGTTGAGGAAGAAGGAATGGGGGCCAGACTGTGATAGTCGTGAGCCAGGGTAAAGCTTGGAGCTACCCTTTTGTTTTCTTTGCTTTTGTGTTTTTCTTTAGTATTGGATTTAAGAAAAAGATTGCTGAAATTGTGATTGAGATATTGAAAATTATGAATTCGAATTAATTAATTTGGAGAAAGAAAGTGTGATTGTGATAATAGAGATTATTGCATTGTGTTAGTAGCACTGGAAGATTGAGTAAAAGTAAAAGAATTGAGAATTGAAGTACTGTGGAAAGAGATTAAGCATCCTGTAGATGTCAGGAATGTTAGTGATATTGAGTAGCTGCAGGGCAATGAACGATTGTAGAGATTGTGAAGGGATTGAATTGAGATGAGGAAGAGAACTTTGGAAGTTTTAGATAATTAATACATAATCAATTGTGACATAACATATCCAATTCATACAACGAGTCTTTCCCCGAGATCGAACCTACCTATACTGATCAAATATCTTGGTGTTTTGAGTCCGAGTCAAACGACGATTACATTTTTGGCGCCGCTGCCGGGGATTGACAATAGTATGAAATGTTAAAGAATTGATGGTATAAAAGACGAGATCGAAGGAGTATGAGCGGTGATTACGACTATGATAATCACAGAAGGAATCAACAAGTAAAGGAAAGACAGGAGCAATTTTATTTCAGAAATTTATTACGACAACAACAAGAAGGGATTCAACGTAAGAAACATCGATGGAGTTGGATAAAGCCGTGGCTTCATGCATGTGCGAATATTCGAGCATATCCAAGTTCTGAAAGAAGTACAATATTGCACCATTATATACCATTGGAGAAATTACCGCGAGCGCTTGTAGGGGATACCGCGAGTAACGAAGCGTCAGAGTCAAGTTCAGTAATTATAAGAAGTTTAAGTACAGAAGAATTGAATAATAGCGATAGTTTACAAGAAAGAAGAGTGAGCAAATATCAAATTGGAACAAAAAGAAGAATTCATATTAATATAGCAAGAAGACCAGCGCAAGCACCAATGGCAGAAGAAGCACCCGCAGTGCCAATAGCGGTACAGATGGGAGCAATTGGAGATCGCACCACCAGCGTGGCTCCATTACCCACGTTTAATGGATGGCCGGGTTCTGATCCCGATCAACACCTGTCCCAATTTTTGACAGCGTGTGTAGCCAATAATGGCAGAACTGAAGATGTCTGGCTGCGATGGCTGCCAGTGACTTTAAAAGATACAATGTTTGAATGGTATATTCGACAACCAGTGGGACAATTTCTTAATTGGGAAGCATTGAAAAATGCTTTCATAACTCATTTTCGACCAATAGGATTCGAAGATCGTCTTCGAGAAAATTTGCTGAACAGTAAAATATTTGTGGGAGAATCGGTTCAGTCGTATTATGGCCGAGTTACAGATATATTACGTAAATGGCCAAACAATCAAATGCCAGACGCGTTTATATTGTCAATAATAGTGAATAGGTTGCATCTCCCAGAATTGAAGATGTTTGTTAAGGAGTCTCAACCAGTTACGGTAGCTGCCTCCTTAGCACATGCAAAGGTGTGGGAGGAGTGCCATTATGATCAACTGTTGATGGTGGGAACCACAATGATTCCTAGTGTAGGAAATCAAGTTCCAATGACCAATACGATGATAGGGAGCTACCCACGAATGATTGTGCCTAGTATAGGAAATCCCAATTCTCAAGGAGTAGTTAATGCCACTCCTTTGCAGGCGATACCACCCGTGGCAACTTATCCTTCGTCGATGGCATATCGACAACGTGAAGTACCAATGAATGCAATAATTAACGATTCTAACGAAGCTCTATTGTTAAATCTAATGAAGAAAATGGAAGAATTAGCCGTGCATATGACTAAAGATAAAGAGAAAAGGCATAAATCTTCTAATATGAGACCTAATATATGGTGTAATAAGTGTAAAGGGCAGGGACACTTTG